GGTATCGGGACTGAAGTATTCCGATTGGTGCCATTGCCATTTCTAGCCGCCATACTTCCACTTACAACAGAATCCAGAATCCTATTAGACATGCATTCGGAGGTCAGTGTATTTGGGGTCAAACAGACAAATTTCCTGGGCTTTAAGAGTCACAATTACCCATCTAAAAAGTAACAAACTTTATCTAAGAATAAATATTTATACCAGTTCCACAATACAAGGTATTGTAACTTACAGCAGATAGTTGACAGTGCTCACATAGCATAAAAACAAGATTATTAATGAAATTGTCCATAGGTAACACGCATAAACATCTTAATCAAAGTCGTTCCTTACTCTAATTATTGACTAGGCACTGTGTACTACTGCATGATAGACATAATTCTCTATAAACACTTATCTGTATCTTAAAGAAACTCAGTGGAGATGATAAGAAAAAGTAATTTGGTTTAAATCATAGCGTTTGTCAGAATAATATAGATTCGCCCTTTGGATAATGATAACAGCAATGGTGAAACTCCTCAAAGACTGGACAACAGTAAGATCGACTGCTGGCTAAAGAAACCCAGTCAGGAGACTCAATATCTTCCTGGGTCTTCAAGGCACAACTGAATGATCCATAACCAGGTTACTAGAGCTAAGCATCTCAGCCTTTCAGCAGCGTACCCCTCCTGGTCCTCCATTCCCAAACAGTGAAATCAGCAGTGGTTCTCACACATGGGAGCTTCCTTTATCTCTGACTCATGTTTTCACATTCCATTATGCTGCCTCTTTTCCCCATAGCCATTGTTAAGGACGCATGCTTACTGCTGAATTGTTAGCAAAATTGTGCTTACGTTTCCTCATTTAAAAGGGGAGATTTTTCCAAAGCTGACAAATCTCCACAAACTCTATAATATCTCACTCTACATTCAGTTGTGCTTTAATTTAGCTATACTAGCATGATTATCCTGGGGCCAGTGCAAACTCAAAACAAAGCACATATCCTGCAGTTTTTCTCTCTCTCTTTAATCTCTCTCTGTATTTCTGTCAAACCTTTCTGACAGCCCCATCCTACTGAAGGCAATCCAACAATGGTCTGCTCATTGATCAGAGAGAGGATCTGTGCAGGGTGGAAGTAAATGGCTGTCACAGGGAATGATAGACCTTAACTCAACCATGGTTGCTCCTGAGGCCACTCATCCTCCACTTACAGTGATGGATGCAAGGATGTCGCCCATCACATTCTTGAGAGTGGGGAAGACTTTGCTAGAGGAGTTTGGAAACTTTAACATAAAACATCGGTTTTAGAAATCACTTCATCTGCCTTTTCCTGAAAGTGAAGTGACGACAGGGTTGAGGTTAAACACAACAAAATCTTTAATGTATTCAGCATTTCTTTTAAATTCTGAACAGAACTAAGATGACTAATCAATTACTCGTGAAATAGTCAATCTACAGAAAATCAATGGGCAACAATTTTGACTTGAATTAACCTTAAAAACTATTTTTCAAGCAAATACGCCCAAATAAATCATTGGTTCCAGCTTCTCAGCCCTGAACATTTGCTGTTTTTCTTTGTTTAATATTTTAGTAAACACAATATCTTTGGGTTTTGGACAGTTTTGTGAGAGCACAAGCAATTTTGAAGACTTCATCATGAGCATTTTTAGACTTTATAGACTAAACAATTAAATAAGTACTCCACCAATGTACCTCTGAAACATTGAAGGACTTGCAAGAGATTCATTAAAAATTAATACTCAAAATCAAAGCAGCCGAGGCCAAATTATTCTGACTTTTAGCCCTTATATTGGCGCATACAGTGGGTACGGAAAGTATTCAGACCCCTTTCAATTTGTCACTCTTTGTTTCATTGCAGCCATTTTCCAAAAATCAAAAAAGTTCATTTTATTTCTCAGTAATGTACACTCAGCACCCCATCTTGACAGAAAAAAACAGAAATGTAGAAATTTTTGCAAATTTATTAAAAAAGAAAAACTGAAATATCACATGGTCAGAAGTATTCAGACCCTTTGCCGTGACACTCATATTTAACTCAGGTGCTGTCTATTTCTTCTGATCATCCTTGAGATGGTTCTACACCTTCATTTGAGTCCAGCTGTGTTTGATTATACTGATTGGACTTGTTTAGGAAAGCCACACACCTGTCTATATAAGACCTTACAGCTCACAGTGCATGTCAGAGCAAATGAGAATCATGAGGTCAAAGGAACTGCCTGAAGAGCTCAGAGACAGAATTGTGGCAAGGCACAGATCTGGCCAAGGTTACAAAAAAATTTCTGCTGCACTTAAGGTTCCTAAGAGCACAGTGGCCTCCATAATCCTCAAATGGAAGACGTTTGGGACGACCAGAACCCTTCCTAGAGCTGGCCGTCCGGCCAAACTGAGCTATCGGGGGAGAAGAGCCTTGGTGACAGAGGTAAAGAAGAACCCAAAGGTCACTGTGGCTGAGCTCCAGAGATGCAGTCGGGAGATGGGAGAAAGTTGTAGTAAGTCAACCATCACTGCAGCAATCCACCAGTCGGGGCTTTATGGCAGAGTGGCCCGACGGAAGCCTCTCCTCAGTGCAAGACACATGAAAGCCCGCATGGAGTTTGCTAAAAAAACGCCTGAAGGACTCCAAGATGGTGATAAATAAGATCCTCTGGTCTGATGAGACCAAGATAGAACTTTTTGGCCTTAATTCTAAGCGGTATGTGTGGAGAAAACCAGGCACTGCTCATCACCTGTCCAATACAGTCTCAACAGTGAAGCATGGTGGTGGCAGCATCATGCTGTGGGGGTGTTTTTCAGCTGCAGGGACAGGACGACTGGTTGCAATCGAGGGAAAGATGAATGCGGCCAAGTACAGGGATATCCTGGACGAAAACCTTTTCCAGAGTGCTCTGGACCTCAGACTGGGCCGAAGGTTTACCTTCCAACAAGACAATGACCCTAAGCACACCGCTAAAATAACAAAGGAGTGGCTTCACAACAACTCCGTGGCTGTTCTTGAATGGCCCAGCCAGAGCCCTGACTTAAACCCAATTGAGCATCTCTGGAGAGACCTGAAAATGGCTGTCCACCAACGTTTACCATCCAACCTGACAGAACTGGAGAGGATCTGCAAGGAGGAATGGCAGGGGATACCCAAATCCAGATGTGAAAAACTTGTTGCATCTTTCCCAAAACGACTCATGGCTGTATTAGATCAAAAGGGTGCTTCTACTAAATACTGAGCAAAGGGTCTGAATACTTATGACCATGTGATATTTCAGTTTTTCTTTTTTAATAAATTTGCAAAAATTTCTACATTTCTGTTTTTTTCTGTCAAGATGGGGTGCTGAGTGTACATTACTGAGAAATAAAATTAACTTTTTTGATTTTTGGAAATTGGCTGCAATGAAACAAAGAGTGAAAAATTGAAAGGGGTCTGAATACTTTCCGTACCCACTGTACATTTCCCATAATGCAACCACTAGCTAAACATATTCTCGCGCCTCCTGGATGGTCAACAGCCGTGCCTCTCAAACTCCACACTCCCAGTTTGTCACAAGACCAATGTGAGATATCCCTGATGCTGTACAACTGTTTCATAGGCTGAGTATAACCACAAGATTAATTGATAATGAAACTGATGCAGCTCTAGTTCAATTTGACCAAATGCTTCAATGTTACTAGTTTCTTATGTTTTTTTCTTATCTCATCATGCAACAGTCCACAAGTCCACAAACATAAGAATTTTACAACAGGTCAGCAGTATGACTGACTAAACTGCACAGCTGTGTGTAGAGAGCTTCTCCATTAGAAAAGGTTTGCTTGCATATTCTCAACAGTTGGCAACTGGGGGAACTAATCATCAAATTATGAGCATTTATCCATCATCAGACTGGCCGAGAGAAACCTGGAGTAGGTTTTAAATAATCACATTGATACAAACAGGAGGCAGCTAAAACGGAGAACAAAGTATTTGAATAAAGCTGAGGCCTGTTGGTGGGAGGTTCTTGTATTGTATGATCCCCAACAATGTGACTGTGGTAAACAGTTTTATTTTACTACAGTTGAAGGATCACAGGGAAATTAGGAAAATACAAAGTTGGCGGCACTCCACTTAAAACCCTAGATAACTTTAATCCAGCAGGCATATAAAGGCTGAGCCTACAAGTTTCCAAAGTGAGCTCTAGGGACAGAAATCAGGAGTAGTTTGGTTAATGAGTAAAAGTATAAAAGATGCTTAGTTTATGTTTCTCAGTGGCCATTACTACCCACAGATAACCACTTTGGTACTATCTGAGAATTTACTGGAAATTCTCTTATGTAGATAAAGGGAAAGACTGGCATCCCTCCAGCCATCAGGTTGTGGCTGAAGAGTCTGATACTGAATTTGTTTTTTATCCCTTTCCAAGCCAAATCAAATGATTTTTCAACAGTTAGTTCACACTTCCCCCAACTTCCCCATCGCTCACAGGTTGAGAAAAGGGATAAACGACATTATAAAGTCAAATGAGCATGTTGAATTTCATTACAAACAGAAGTAAACTAATCCTGTAATAAAGTTTAGAGGGGTACAAACTTTTGCATAGCATGGAGCAAGTTTAAACGTAGTCTTCACCAGAGAAACATCTAAAAACTAGTAACGTTAGACTATGAATTAGCCCACTAGAAGTTTGCTGTTAACCTAAAATATTTCACAATAAAACTTATTTACCATATGGGTGAATGATTATAGAAATATTGTAGTAATTAGTCCAAAGGGATGATTTTAAAAGAGTTAAGAGATTGTTGAGCTATAGTGCACCGCTTGATATTGTCCATCCTCACAACAATGTGTCAAGAAATGTTATATTGATGTTAGCCAAAATACCACCGTATGCCAAAACACAATGGCAATATTAGGGGAAAATACCAACAAGTCGATATTTAGTTGCTACTGACATACATAGTTCATTTCCCATGAACATTATTTATGTTCTATGTGTGCAACGTGTGATGCTGTGAGGTTAGTTAGACCAGCCTACCGGTGTACTGCAGGAGAAACATTGTCCTCTGTCGCAGCTTTTGAGACTTGACAGTCCCAGCGAAGATAAAGTCTGTCAGCCTGTGATATTAATCCTTGAAGTCGGGGAGATTCTTGGCTGTTACGCTGCGGTAGAAAAGGTATTGCTCCGGTACAGTACTGTACGTTTGCCAGTCAACCGTGAGCAGTTATCACCTGCCTCGGAGCATGTACCGTGCTACCGTCAATCTGACAAAATGGTTAAAAAGAACTTCCGGTTGTGACTTTCAAAATAAACCCCACACTGCCGCTCATGTGCTGTTTTTTTCAAATTGAACACACTTAATTAGATTTTTTTTAAGTCAAATGACAAACGGGTTGTGCTATTAAGTACATTAAGCATTGTTTCTTCATAGACTGCCGCTATGTACACCTGACCTGAATACTAATTAACTTTTTTTTATCCTTAAAGAGACTTTCTGCTTTTAATTTGAAGGCAGGTAGGTGTCAGTGTTTGCATGGGTGCAATGTGCCATGGAGAAAGAGAAGTGACTTGCAAAGTGTAGTTCTTCACTGTAGATTTGCTTACTATGATTACAATAACCAAAATTAAGAAAGACTGAATCAACACAAACGTCAGCTGACGCCCAGCACAGCGGTCACAGCACCAAGTGCCCTGACCTATGGGGTGCCAACTGTTCCGTATTAGCCGGGATATCCCTTAGGCTATATTAGGCCTAAATGATTTCTCCCAGAAGTGACTCTTTTCCTGTTTTTTTTGACTAGCCTACTACGCTGATCTAACCACTGACTGATACGACAGCAACAGCAGCAGCGCTGATCACAACACTTGACAATGGTCACCGACACCTGCCTTCATCCAATAACAACCTCACCTCATGCGCCTCAGTATAGGTGTACGTTAAGTAACATTAAATGCAGTTACTGTGGAAATTGACAAAATAGCGGCAAGTGAAGCCTTGTACGTGTATCAAACATGGACTCAGCTACAACCGGACTGCCTTGTTAAACTTAAACGGTGCGTTGTTTCATGACTCCTATGTTGTGAAGAAGATGCATTTGGCAAGAAAGAAAGCTAAGATTATCACAATGAATGTTTTCGTACCAAAGATGGTGCGGGATATCCTGAATGATCTATCCCCGACTGAAGGTGAGTCTGTGTTTTACTATGTTGATACTGACACCTCAAACAAGGGAAACAGCAAAATGTTTCCAGTGCCTAATGGAGTGCAGTGCAAGTTACTTGACTTTTATGAAGATAATGATGAAACTGCAAATGGTAGCCTATTCATCAAGTTCTGATGAACTCCCTGAAAAAGCATGAACTAAATAAATATAAATAAAACACATCACAAGTAGCTATGTTCTTTTTAGTTTACATGAAGGGGATAACCTTTTGTAACCTACAGTGCAAGAGTCACAAGTGTTTTGTATTCAGTGTTGGGCAGTAATGTTACTTTTCCCAGTAACTAGTAGTGTAACTAATTACTTTTCTAAAACAGTAATATTATTACTAGTTACTAATCCAAGAAACGCTGCGTTACTGAACGCACCATCCTTGACTTGAATCCACGAATGTGCGGCATCGGACTTTGTTGTTCATGTGCTGATAGCCAAAAACTAAATGAAGAATCGAGAATGAGGGAGAGAGGCGTTCTTTCCACAGCTGTAAGTAGCTACTGCAATTATTGTGTCACAGTCTAAGTTGCAAAGAACATTGTTGTCTATTGTAAACTCCAGCAAAAAGCTTTCAACCGCGAACATTTCTACATGTGATTTATTGAAGCATCTGCTGAAGCAGCACAGCAACGTGAAACTTGCTTTAAAAGAGAGAAACTCCGGCAGCTGCTGTCACTGATGCTTGGAGTTGTCGGAAGAGAGTGGCTTTAACGCAACATTTTGTAACTGCTCTTAAAAACGTGCTACATGTGCAACAGTAGTTCAAAAGTCTGAATTTACATGCTTTATTTTTTTTTATTTCAGCCGGTGGTGTTAAGAAACTTTAGGCCTATAGGCTAAATGTTTTGTAAAAAACACACTCCTTGCTGCTGTTGAATATGATAGCCTATTAGTTAAAAAGTCGGGGGAGACTGCTTTGTTTGGGGTTGAAGGGGGTGGAGGTGAAAGCAGTGTTTCCCATAATTATCAACGCTGACCGCCACACCTTGATGTTCAAATGTTTTTTTACTAGGCATATTTAAAATCATATTTGATTAAGGATCTGTAGCCTATTTAGGAGCATATTCCTGCAGCACCTCCTCACTCGCCCCCTCTTTGTCTCTCTCCTGAACACCGCAGTCCAAACCTGTCCAAAGTTACAATGACGCCCCCGGCCGCTGTCATTCTGTGTAAAACACTGGAAAGTAATTAGTAACGTAACGAGTAATGTTACTAGTTACTAATATCACTCAGTAATAAGTAAAGTAATAATATTACTTATGTAAGGAGTAAGAAGTAACTATTAATATATTACAATTTCTGAGTAACTTGTCCAACACTGTTTGTATTAGACAAAAGGAAAAATTATTGGTTTAATTAAAGGACTGTGTTAAAGGTACTTGCTGTAAATAAACGATTAATAAACCTACCAAATATTTAATTAAGAGAATGCTATCATTATGACAAACTGCTGAAAACAAAACACAGTATATTTACACAAAACCATACCTGCACTGCTGCAGCAGGTAAAGTTGGCAACACTACCTTGACCACGCCCCAAAGTCATTTCAGTGGTTGCCTCCAAGAACAGATATTGTCTTCATCTCACTTGGGTCCTAGGCAAGTCTTACCTCTGATGATGTTATGATATTTCCTCATGTGTAAATTCAATTTCATCCGTGAGCTAGGCCTACACTAGTAGCTTCAAAAGACATGATGTTTTTAACATAAGTGTAACCTTATCGTTAGATTATAGCTAAGGTTAAGATATTAGCTAGCATCCAGTTAGCAAGCTATCACCATTTAATTTAATATCTGTCAAACAAACTTAAATCCTGTGCACATTCTCCTGTCTCTGCTTCTCCCTCTCCTTTTCCTGACTGCAGTGCAAAGTCAGTTTCTTGGGGACCAAGTTCAGCGTGTGGCCAAGGCAAACCTTTCCATCACCATCTGAGGATAACAAAATTTGGTTGGTGAGAATGGTAGTTGTATGTGATGTTTTGGTGGCAGGGCTCACCCGCACCTTCAGCAGGTATCAGTGTGTTTAAGTGTAAATGTTCATTCATGTCCTTGTAAAAAGTAGTTTGATGAAAAAAGTCCTACTCAAGACTGGCGACCTGTCCAGGGTGTACCCCGCCTTGCGCCCGATGTTAGCTGGGATTGGCTCCAGCCCCCCCGCGACCCTGTACGCAGGATAAGCGGTTGACAATGGATGGATGGATGGAAGTCCTACTCAAGGTCCACTCACTAACTTTTCCTGGAGCTTTCAGACACACCTTACAGTCTTCCTTGGTGAATGGAATACATCCCGTTGTCACAAAGAATGTGGTTAAAACTCCTGTAAAAAGCAAGTAAGTGGACTTATAGTTATAAAACTTTACACAATGGCTATACAAATTTCTTTAGCAGAAGGCTTACTTAGGTTTATCTAATCTCATAAAGCTCTTCAATAATAAAAATAGAATGAAAACACTTACACATAGTGCCTTAAATATCTAACTTAAATATAAAAAAACTGCAGTGTTATGTAAAATGAGTGTTATGTAAAATGTAATTTTTTTTATGGGTGTGATATTGTCCAAATGTCTGAAGACACTATGGGATATGTCACAGCAGTGGATAACTGGGTTGTTTGTTCCTGTCCTCATTAGCACTGCTTAGCCTAGTTCAGACAAGTTTGGAGGAGATGCAGGGATCTATTTTTGTGACTATGCATAGAGAATGAGAGCCATAAAAATGCGTTTTCATTAGATGAATATGTGTTCATTCATATATTATGTTCTCTTCTTGTGTCTGCTTGATATTTTAGCATCTGAACTTTAAGTTGACCCGTTCCTACGTTGAGAAGAAATGCATGCAAGAACAGATCGTGCTCAAACATTAACAAGCTTTTAGAGCAGAAGAAACAATAGCAAATTAAAAGTACATTTTTATTTCCCATGATTAACATGTGCATTATTAAGGTAGTCTCATCCTCCACATAAGCCAAAACCTGGCTTGTGGATGTGCTCCTCCTGCACTCAAACTGTCCCTGTGCTACACCAACAACAACTGGTTGGCTCTTTGCCTAATATCACTGAGCTGTTTTCTACACAAGGAAACAGTTCTCAAGCAACTGAGTAACACATGTTAACCAAATGTGTAATCTCCCCCCAAGTTAGTTCAACATCATCTGCCCTCAGCGGCTCATTTCATGTGCTGTATATTTGCTTTGCGGCCATTCAGCACCATTGGTTTTGTCACGGGAGAAGCTTTTGTGGATTCTTCCATCACCAAACCCTCAATGTTGTAGTTGCAAAACGAAATGTGGTATTATGTCCCATTCCATATGCTTAATATTTACCATAGAGGCCAACACCAGAGAAAAAGCAGTAAGAAAGGAAAAGCAATTTTGTTTGACAAGAGCAAGTATTCTTCATTCAAAATGTTTTGGCAGGGGTGACTATTATATTTTTGAAGGCAGTGAAGTGGTTGCTTTGATTGATATTGTGCCCTGTCAAATTACCAACCATTTACAAACACTGCAGGGAGGGTGAAATAATTTGGAAGCCTTTCAAAGTGAAAAGTTAGATAAATGCTTGGGCAACAGATGGCCCATAGTTTTCTCTTCACTTTGTCTGAAATGGTTTTTTGTTCCAAGGTGATATTCTGCACTTACTAGTTGACACCAATGTCTCCTTGAAAAATTATTTTGAATTACTGTCCCTTCACCCTGGAACTACAAAAAGGTCAGAGATAAACAGAATGTCAGACATATCCTAAAGTGGAAAAGAATTAGGCACATTGTGCATCCATCATGCCGAGCAAAGTGTTCTCAGCATTGATTTTTTTAAAACAACTTTGATGTAATTGCAAAAATAAATGATGCATGCACTGTTCATGGAGCACTGATGTTGATTTCTCAATCTGCCCAGCCATTTTCTGGATATGGAAATTACATGTTTACAGCCAGTCTCTGCAGCAGTGATTATATGTCAAAGCAACACTGCATATGAAATTAATTTTTAAAAAACCTGATGTGTGATTACATTAAAAGTCAGAGAATG